GGACCAGCGGTGGCCTCGAGGGGGCGCGTGCGGCGCACAGCGCGGACTCAGGCAGTGGTCCCGCCCGGCGCCCCCAGACCCCGCTCCACAACGCCCCCGACCCCCCATGACAGTGCGGACGTGGCTGCCCCTCATTCCCTGTCTGTGCGTGCAGCTTCCGGAGGCTGATGAGCGGGGTCAGAACAGAGTGAGGGCCGCGTCCTCCGAGAAGCTAGGCAGAGAAGCGCAAGGGTGCCCTCCCAGCTCTTGCATCTTCCCCGTCGTCTACACGTCTGCCCTGCGGAGCGCTGCGCCCTCCCCTCCCACGCCCAGGCCGCCGGTGGCGCTGGCCACCGCCTCCCCGCGGCAGGGCCTGCGTGCTTCCGTCCCCCCACCCGGCTTGATGGCTTACTGTCTACGTATGCATACGTAGAAGTTTTTACTAAGCTTTTCATAAACGGTATAAAAGGGAAAAGAATCTTTCTTTTCAACGTTTCTAAGATTTATTCATGTTGGTATTCATAGCTCTAACTCACTCATCTTCACTCCTGAATAATATTCTAATGGACAAAGTACCTCAAGTTCTGTATCCATTGTCTTGTGGTCTAAGATTCACTCTTTTTTGTTTGTTTGTTTTGGAAAATATAGCTGTTTTTCATTTAAGAATATTATTTTGTGTTAATAAGAAATGGGTTTGTTATTTTTTAAATTAGTTAATGTAGTATTTTAAAATTTCTAATATGGTAATTACCCACAGATAAAACCCACCTACACAAAAGGTCCTTGGTAATTTTTGAGGATCTAAAGGGCTCCAGAGACCGAGGCGGGGAAGGGCCAACGGAAAGCACTGCTGCGGCGTGTGAGCACGTGCACTGCCCACAGACTGCAGCGTGCCACGCTCCATGAAGCCGGGCACGAAAACAAAGCCCAATCTGGCTTCCCTAGAGAGAGGCCGGCAGGCCAGGGGCCACTTGTTCAGTCTTGGAAAGTTAAAAAGCTGCCCCCAGAGGTCACAGGGAAGCCAGCTTTCCAGATACCTGAAGGCAGGGACTTGGGAGGGGCCCCCAAATGAGCACCTCCTCCCCTCAAGCCAAGGGAGCCTGTGTCCTGGGGTGGCTCAAAAAATGCCCAAGCTTTATGCACTTTCAATACTTCCCATGGAAAATCAATAGTAGGAAACAAGATACAGGTGGCCGGGCATCACGCAGGTCAGTCTGTGTGCCCGCCCCAGCCGTGGGCTCTGTGACCCTGGCCATGTGCACCTGACCACCGGCAGCCACAGCAAAACAAAAGAGCAGACGCTGCAGCTCTTCCTGAGCCTCACCAGCCCCCTCCGGTGAAGGGCAGGGTGTGCGGTGCCTGTGGGGCTCAGGAGGGTCCAACACGGAAGTCGGCAAAAAACATGCCCAGACGTTTCACGAGGAGGGTGTACACATGGCCAGACACGCCGGAAAGGCCATGTCACTACTCATAAAGGAAATGCAAATTAAAACACACCTATGGGAATGCTAAAAACACCAGAAAATGCACAATACCAAGAGCCGGGAAGTCTTTGGTGCTGGGAATACAGAACGGCACAGCCATGTGGGAGGACGGTTTGGAGGTGGTTTTTGTTGTTTTCTTTTTTTTTTTAATACCAGACTTTCTTTTTTAGAGCAATTTTAGGTTCACACAAAAACCGAGCAGAAAGCCCAGAGTTCCCATACGCCCCCTCCAACAGCCTCCCCACCACCCACAGCCCCAGACCGATGCACTGGCTGTAATCCAGGCTCCCGCCCAGACATGTCCTGTCGCCCGCGGTTCACATCTGGGTGCACTCGTGGTCTCGTAGCCCCACGGCTGAGACTAACGCTGAAAGGCTCGCCTCCGTCCCGCAGCGCCGCCCTCTGCGCCCTGCCTGCCCGGCCCTCCCTCCTCCGGAGCCCCTGCCAGCCACTGATGATGGTCTTCCAATTTGTTTTTATTGTGGTAAAATACACATAAAGAAAATTTACCGCCTCGATCACTTTTAAGTGTCGAGTTCAGTGGTAGCAAATACGTTCATAGTGTTGGGAAACCGTCACCACCGTCCATCTTCAGACGCTTTTCATCTTGTAGAACTGAAGCTCCGTCCCTTCAACACCAGCTCCCCACACCCAGCCCTCCCGGCACCACCTGCCTTCTGCCTCTGTGAACCTGACTGCTCTCGGCACCGCACATACAGGAGCTGACACAGGCTGTGTCCTTGTGTGACTGCTTTCTTCACTCAGCACAGCGTCCTCACGTTTCATGCGTACTGTGGCCTGGGTCAGAACTTCCTTCCCTTTTAAGGCTGAGTACCCTCCCGCGGCATGTGCGCACAGACCGCAGTTTGCTTGTCCAGCCCTCAGCGTGGGCGCTGGGGCTGCTTCCACGATTCAGCTGAATGATGCGGCTGTGGACGCGAGCGCACAGATGTCTCTTCAAGACCCTGCTTTCAATTCTTTTGAGTAAACACTCACATGGAGTTGCTGGGTCACGTGGTAGTTCTGTCTTTAATTTTTTGAGGAACCACCATTCTGCTGGCCACAGTGGCTGTCATCGTTTCGTTCCCGCCAGCAGCGCGCAATTGCTCCTGTTGCTCCACATGCTCGCCGAAGCCTGCTGCTTTCTGGGTGGCCTTCTGTATTTCTGTTTTCTGTCTTTTTGACAGTAGCCACCTTAACGTGTGTGCGGTGGCCTCTCATTTCAGTTTTCGTCTCTGATGATTCATGAAGCTGAGCATGCTTCCATGTGCATGTTGGCCACATGTGTGTCTTCTTTGGAGAAG